ACCAGCGACAGTTCCAGACTCTTATCAGCTGAGGTAACATCAGAGGACTCCACACAACAAACCTGGTTAATATAACCCTTCTCTTCCATTGCTAAATTTTTCCTTTGTCTGGTCACTTCTCTACAAATCTACTGTTCTTTGTTCAGATGCTTGATAAGCCCAAGCTCTAACCACCCCACTGAGTTCCCCTGTGTGCATGTGCAACACACATATTAATAAACTGCTTTACTCTTGTTTTAATCTGTCTTTCGTCAGTCTAATTCTTGGGGCCTCAGCCAGAAACCCTAGGAGGGTAGAGGAAAAATTGTACTTTTCCCCTCTCCTACAATATTTAGTAGGCTCAAATATCTCTTAAATAGTTACGAGATGAGCCATAACATGTGAGGAAGTATTTGCAATATGTATCTTACAAAAGAAGTTTATTTATAATGTATAAACTTTACAACTTGATAAGAAGGCAAACAACCTAGTTAAAAATGGGCAAAAAATCTGACAGCGACTCCACAGAAGTTACACGAATGGCCAAAAAGCACATAAAAGATGCTCAGCATCATTAATCATCAGGGAAATGCAAATTAAAACCACAATGAGGTGCCACTAGATACCCATCAGAATGGCTAGAATTATAGACACTGGAGTGTTGACAAGGATGTGAGGCATCTGGAAGGGTTGCACTACCCTGGTGGGAATGTAAAATGGTACAACCGCTTTGGACAACTGCCCAGAAGTTACTTAAAAAAACAAACATAAATCTACCATACAATCCAACAATTCCACTGTTACGTATTTACCCAAGAGCAACGAAGACCTAAGTCCACACAATGGCATCTACACAAATGTTCATAAGAACTTTATTCAAAACAGCCCCAAACTGGAAACAACACAAAAGTCCATCAACAGGTGAATGAATGGGTAAACAAAGGATATATCAGTACAATGGGATGCTATTCAGCAATAAAAAGGAATGAACTACACCACAAGGTCAATTTAAAGGCATTTTGCGTGTCAAAGAAACCATACACAAAAG